GTGAAGGTGGATATAAGTGGTGATGAAGGTGGATATAAGTGGTGGTGAAGGTGGATATAAGTGGTGGTGAAGGTGGATATAAGTGGTGGTGAAGGTGGATATAAGTGGTGGTGAAGGTGGATATAAGTGGTGGTGAAGGTGGGTATAAGTGGTGGTGAAGGTGGATATAAGTGGTGGTGAAGGTGGATATAAGTGGTGGTGAAGGTGGGTATAAGTGGTGGTGAAGGTGGATATAAGTGGTGGTGAAGGTGGATATAAGTGGTGGTGAAGGTGGATATAAGTGGTGGTGAAGGTGGATATAAGTGGTGGTGAAGGTGGGTATAAGTGGTGGTGAAGGTGGGTATAAGTGGTGGTGAAGGTGGATATAAGTGGTGGTGAAGGTGGATATAAGTGGTAGTGAAGGTGGATATAAGTGGTGGTGAAGGTGGGTATAAGTGGTGGTGAAGGTGGGTATAAGTGGTAGTGAAGGTGGGTATAAGTGGTGGTGAAGGTGGATATAAGTGGTGGTGAAGGTGGATATAAGTGGTGGTGAAGGTGGATATAAGTGGTGGTGAAGGTGGATATAAGTGGTTAGTGAAGGTGGATATAAGTGGTGGTGAAGGTGGATATAAGTGGTGGTGAAGGTGGATATAAGTGGTGATGAAGGTGGATATAAGTGGTGATGAAGGTGGATATAAGTGGTGATGAAGGTGGATATAAGTGGTGGTGAAGGTGGATATAAGTGGTGGTGAAAGTGGATATAAGTGGTGGTGAAAGTGGATATAAGTGGTTAGTGAAGGTGGATATAAGTGGTGATGATGGTGGATATGGAGAGTGAAGTTAAAGGTGAATACACAACAAACATCATTTAGTGATGGATCGTAATACCAAACTACCAATCCAACTGAACGAAACCCAAACACACATCAATTACACAACTAAACGCTAACACAACAACTACACTAAAAAGCCAGTAATCAAAACAAAACCAAAAAAAACAGGAAAAAAACAAGTTAGGTCAACGTATATGACGAGAGGAACAAACATTTTTGTTTGTATGTAGAGGTCGCCAGAGTACATATGATCCAAAGACAGAGTACACATGATGATGTTGATACTGCTATGCTGGAAGGCTGGCCGCTTCTCAGGCTGGGAAAAGGGCGGGGACAGGCTGGGGAAAAGAGCGGGAACAGGCTGGGAAAAGGGCGTGAACAGGCTGGGGAAAAGAGCGGGAACAGGCTGGGGAAAAGAGCGGGAACAGGCTGGGGAAAAGAGCGGGAACAGGCTGGGGAAAAGAGCGGGAACAGGCTGGGGAAAAGAGCGGGAACAGGCTGGAAAGAGAGTGGGTATTGGGAGAGGGGCGAAAGACGACGAGAAAATGGGATACAAGAGGGAGGAAAAGTGTGAAAAGGGAGTAAACAGGACGTGAAAGAGAGAGGGCATGAGCATGGGACCGATAAAGGGGAGGGGTTGTGAGAAAAACAGGTGGAAAGGGTGTAGAAAATACGGTGAATTGGGGGAGGGGGAGGCGAGCAAAGGGAGGAAATAGTGTAGGATGAGAAAGAAAAAATGGGAAGGAAGATAGAGAGGCAGAAAGTGTCTAATAGACCTACTTAGGAACGGAAATTACATCTCGGAGTTGAGGCGGAAAGTGAGAAGTATTGGACAGACGGAAAGTTTACATTAGAGTTTTTGAAATGAAGTGATGTCAGAGAGAAAGAGAGAGAGAGAGAGAGAGAGAGAGAGAGAGAGAGAGAGAGAGAGAGAGAGAGAGAGAGAGAGAGAGAGAGAGAGAGAGAGATAAACTAGTACCGTTTATATGTTAGTTTCCCCTCCCACTGATGTACATTTTCCCTTACAGCCATCCGAGCAGGAGCAATCTTAAGCAACTTAAATTTGTATATTATGAAACATTAATGCCGGGAAAAGGAAAAAAAACTAAATTAATCGTCAAAATAGTTGTTAAAGTTAATGTGGGATTCGAACCCAGTCCACATTTTGTGTGGGATCTCAATCATAGCACCACCACTACATTGCCAGGAAGCTTAAATTCCTTAACTTCTAGTGACTTTCTTGTTATTTGGGGCTGTTGTGAATCTAGAGGTTAGAGAGAGAGAGGAAATGGAAGAGAGGAAAGAAAGGAGGGAGACAGAAAGTGAGGGAGTGAGGAGACAGAGAAAGAGGGAGGTAGGGGGATAGAGAAAAAAATAGGAATAAGTGAGAGAAATCAAAATAGTCGTAGAGAATAATAATTGGTTTATCCGCCTACAGACCAGCCACCAAATATAATTTTTATACTAAACAAATTTACTGTATATACACCGATAAATGGGGAACACCTTTCTGAGTATATATTCCATAAGAATGAAAGAGCATATCTGTTAAGAAACGTATATATATTTGCTGGCATTAAATTTCAGACTAAATTTCAATATTCAAATACATTGAGACCTTACTAATATGACCTCGAGTTACCCTCGTTTGTCCAAAGTTAATTATGCTATGTTTTTTATGTATTTGA